TATATATTACTAAAGTACCTACTACATTTATTCAAAAAGTTAAATAAGAGAGTTTTTTTTGATAAGTAATTATTAAAATCTTGAAAAAATAAACGTATTTATATCTGCAGATGTTATGTAATTATGTTATGTAACCTATAACTATTACAAATAATAACGTTTATACTGTTTTTCATAAACTTTGACACACGTAAAGCAGTAAAGAGACACTTAATTACAAAATGCATGAATATAGGTGTGTTAAAATTTAGTTTAGGAGATTTCATAATCGTTCTAAAAACATCTTATAGTAAATGTTATTTTCGTCTTTTCATTATCTTATAAACCATTAATTTTAAGAAAAGACGTTTTAAAATTACTTAGTATAATAATCACTGACAATTAAAGACTTCATTTTGATTTTTGGTTATAATATTAACATTATAAAATATATTAAAAAACACAGCAATGAAATAAAATGACTAATTTATATTTTATAGTGAAAATAAAAGTTTTTTACTAAGTAAGTATTGTACTAGTATCTAAATAATAACAACCAGTAACCCGTCAGTCAACATAAATACTTATTTTTACATTGATCCGAAACGTCATTGTTTAAAATATTTTACTGAGTTAATGAACAATGGTAATTAATATGATTAAAGAAATAACGAAATGTATGTCACCAATATATAGTCAGTATTCAGAGTAGCGGTTTTAAACTTTTAACGTGTCGAGTTCAATAAGGGAAAGAACAGCCATTCTAAAATATTATAGGTACAGTAAGATTTAAAGAATGACACGTTGTTTAAGATCTTGTTATAATGTATTTTTCATAAAAAAGTATTGCGTTGGTTCAAACTGGATGAACACATTCCGAAAACAATAGTGTTATAAAAAATTGACAACGACTACAACGACTACGACGGCTGAGTTTTTAGTTGTTATAATATTATAACGCATTGTGTATAATATTATCAATAAAGTATAATAAAATACAATGGTAGTAAAACAGAGACATTTTTCTTAGTAAAAAAAATTTGGTTATAATGTGATTAAAAATTATGCCTCAGTATTGTAGGTATACCACTAAATATTATAATATTATAATCATACAAGGCAGAGATTGAGGTTACATTAATAAAATGGACGATTGATAATTCATTTTTTATTTATATTTTTGGTAAAAAGCTTCAACAACAAAGATTTTTATCGTAACTTAAAAAAATACTTTAAGTATTATTTACTCAATAATGTAGGTACCTAGGTAATATTACGATTTAAGTTGATTCTTCAATTTTTTGATAGTTCACAACTAATAAGTTTCACTTTTTTGTTAAAAAAAATCTTGTAACTAGTAAATAGTATTACTACCATTATTTAATTTTAAATGTATACCTACAAATATTTAAATAAGATCATACCAGTAGTGGTTTTGACCAAACATCAAGAAAAGGAGACATTTAGAAGGTACCATTGTATATAAAAAAAAGGTTAAATCCTTTTTACCAAGACTGTTCAATCGTATACTTAAGTTTTAATCTTTTTATATTTTATAATTTTTACAATTAACACATTAAAAGTAATTAACTATGTTCAATGGTGGTACGATCGGCTCACTTAAAATCACCAATGAATCAAACATAAGCCCAACATGCCTGGTGTTTTATTTACTACACTTTTTTATTTTCTAACATAATTATTTTTAATACAATGATCGAATTCATATGTGATCATAATCTATTGATATTGGTATATTATAATAATATTAAATCAGCCTCATTAATTGTATGTAAATAAACGGAAGGTTGAGTGGTAATATGAGTGCTAGTTGTTGCTCACATGCACAATACAAAATATGTTTGGTGCAGTGCCGCAACTAGAGATAAAAGGGCCCAGGTGCGAGTCAAATTTTGGGGCCCCCTATTTCAACCTTTTTACAAAATTGAATAGCACTAAAAGCGCAATTAAGGGTGGGCTTAAAACCCCCTGGTAACAAAAAAACCCCGAAAATAATAAAGACATTTGGTTTCACATCAGGGGGCTAAATCTTTTTATTTTGGCTTTCCTTACAATGCCTATACATAGTGCATACCAAGTACAAATTTTAAAAAGCAAAACTATTTTTATCACTTTATTTTAAATAATTTTACTTACAAAAATAGTCAAATAATTTATGCATAGGCCTCCATTCGAAATGTAAGCCTAAAACCATATGTGTTTTCATCTCAGTTGATATTTTTTAATTTTTAAGTATAAATTAAACATAACATTATGTACCTTAATACAGTTTATTACAATAGCATTCGTATTATAATACAAATTTGAAAGAATAAAATTATATTTTATTATATTATTCACTAACTGGAATAGAAAAGAGTACAAATATTATCATTTTAGAAAATTATTTTTCCTAGCTTTATTATGAGCAAAATCGTTGATTATTTTTTCAATATTTAATTCTTTTGTTTTCTTTTTTCTATGTTCAGTACAGCTATGTGTGATAAACGTTCTTGGCTAACAGAATTCCTTTAGTAATTTTTTATAAGTTTTAATTTAGAAAAAGAGCGTTCTGCCGAAACTACAGTCATTGATAGTGTTAAAAATATAATGCATGTAGTCATAATGTCACTATAGACTGAACAAAGATCATTTTCTAAAAAAAAATCACTAAGATCTCTTATAGTCTTCAACTTCATATTTTTTAAATTTACTTTAAGTGATAAAAGTTGTCTAGGGAAATCAGAACTTATATCGTTTTGATAAAACTGAACAAAGTCATATGCAATTTTTATCAATTCTGATTCTTCAGAATCTAGTATCATAGAAGGAGTTAAAAATTCAAAATTATTGTGTTCTGTCTTCATTCCTTCAAACCTTCCTTGTAATTGTGACAACGCAGTATCAATAATAGGTAAGAACACTGACACCCGAAAGTTGTCTTCAGTTATATCAATTCTTCTATCCTCATCGAAAAATTTCAATTCTCATCATGTGTTGTAAATTGGAATATTAGTTTAAAATCTTAAATCTTTTATGTCTGAAAAGGGCCCCCTAATTACAATTATAGGGCCCTTTTGGGGGTGCCATGCACCCCCAGCACCCCCGCTAATTGCGGCACTGAGTACCAATATTCAATAATATGTTTTAAAAATATAAAAATAGTTATACATTTTTTTGCTCATACTTATTCATACTGATATAAATTGCTGAACCATAATAAAGTTGTAAGTCATTGATAACAATTTTTATTGATTTTGACAGGAAAAACTGAATATTTTATTTATAAATACCAATATTTTCTTCAAAAAAATAAATTGCAGTTTATAATACCATGTATAAATGTATAATTCATTATTATGTTGTACAAACTTGTAAATATAATAGTTTAATTATATAAAATTATGTATGTATTACCTAGTTTTATCCGCACGCAATATTTGTATCTATAATATAAAACGGATGCTTGTATATTATTTTAAGTACCTATTTTATACTACATGAGTACATGACCAGTAATAACATTGTTATTTGTATACTGTATAGGTACTGTATAATATTATACTAACGTAAACACCTATATTATGTTGTATAACTTTTATTTTCCCATACACTTATATTTATCATACAAATAGTATAATAATACTTAATTTAGTATACAATACAATATATAATATTATGATATAATGCAATTATTAGATTGATAAATTAATATATACAATATACATTATAGATAATATAACACTTTCATCAATTGAATTCATCCAACTGAAATAATTTTCATATTTTATAAATGAGTAAAAATAATAATAAATAAACGCTTATAAAAGTTTTTATAAGAAATTTCCCTCCTTGTTAAAGACATTTGTTTAAAAATGAAATTTATAGATTAAATAATTATCCTTTTAGACCTTATTTTAATTTTATAATTACATTAAATTTTCCGACGAATTTTTTTATTATGTTTGAACTTTTGTTATTTTCAAGCTCAAGGAAATTAACATTTCAGTTATTCTTATGCTTGGCAATTATTAAGTTTTATATTATTTTAATTGAACAGAATGTAGTTAACATTTGAATGGAAATACATCTAAATTAAGCGGAGGTGAAATTAGTTATTACTGTAATTAAGATGGCTTTATACAATAATAATTTAATTAAGAAGAAATATTATTCAAGAACCTATAAATACATTATACACATTGTAAAGTAAAACGCTGGGAGGAAACATTTTTCTTGCTTTGGCTGTGTTGAAGATCGTGGATCTTAAATTCATGTATTAGAATACAAAGAAGCTGCGTGAGCTACTTGAATATGGTTATTTTATAAAAAGGCTTAAAGTATTAATTGGAATTTCCAATCACAAAGTTTATTTAGTTTATGAAAGCTATTTCGTCTTTTAAAGTTATAGTGGTAGTTATAGTGGTATAAGTTTTAAAGTGCGAATTCGAAATACCTCGAGTTAATTTAATCGTTAGCATATTAATGTTAAACTGGAAATTATTGAGGTACCGAAGGATATTAATTTTTTTAGTTACGGTCTTTAACACTGCATTCGTCTGTTATTGATGTACTGATTTACTGATTTTGTAAATATCCAATCTAAAGCTTGTGTTGTACCCCCCTCCTCCGGGCTTCTATCCCCTCCAACGACTTGCTAGACCAAGATAAAATAACACATATAGATAATACTTCTTAAAATCATCAGCATACTTCAATATGCATTACGCGAGAACAGCCCGAGTATTGACTATTGATGGATATTGGGTATATTATGGATGTTTATGTTACCTGACTTAATGGAATTTAAAATTGTAATAATTATTGTACTATAATATTGGAAAAATAATATTATTAATTATTTAGGTAAAATCAACACTCAATATAAATGTTCAGACGGCCAGTGCAATCATATGCTAATTATCAATGCTTTAGGTATATTGTAATGAAGCGCTTCAAGTTTAGAGAAATGAAAACTACAGCGAGAAATGAAAATTATAGAAACCGAAGAAATGCTTTACCTGGTACTATCCTGGGCCCGTTGGCCGTGACCAGACCAGTTCCGTACGTCACTTGCGAAGGAGTGGCGTTCGATGAGACGATGCTGATCTGCTCGAGGTCGGCCGACTGGCCATGGTGAAGCAGGCGCGTGCTGCTAGTGGACGTGGCGGGTTGCGCGTCCGCGGACTCGCGTCGGCCCGCGATGCTCTGCACCAGCCGCATGGTGGCAACACCAAGCGGTGGTGGCGGCGGCGGCGGCGGCGGTGGCTGCGACGCTGAAGGTCAGCCGGGCTCGGCGCTGGTGCTGGTGGTGGTGGTGGTGGCGGCAAAGATGACGACCACCCCTTAGAAACAACGACGACGACGACGACCGCGGTAACGGTATCCCGGTGTGGATTCTGTGGCAGGACCGCGGTAGCTGCTGCAACAGTGGCGATGGCCGCTCCGACCGCTCGGAACGCATGATGACCGGCGCCCCGGCACGGCGGTATCACCACCGCTCACCATTGTTTGTACCACCGCCGCAGCTGGGCGCGATCATCTCGTCGTCGCACAGATCACGGGGAAACGCCGCGACCACGACCGTTGGGCGCGGACGGGCCGGCGTGAGCGCTTCGTCACCGCCGTCGTATATTGTCACCGACGCCGCCCGCGCCCGCTCCTCCGCTCCCGTCCCGTTTCCCGGTTCGCCCGCAGACTCTTCCGCTGCACCGGACACTCAACTTCCGGTGGCCGCAGACGCCTTCAGTGAGTGCGAGACTCAGGTGCAGGTGGTATCGTATGCTGTGGTCCTGACCTGCAAACCAATAGATACATCGTCAATAAGCAGCGTATGTGTAGGTGAACCGAGTGGTAACGTCTTAACCGAGTTTCGTAATATTATTATGCGTAAGGCCGGTTCACGGCAACCCGAAGTCGTTTGTGGCCATGTCGTGTGCAAAAGTTGAGCTCTGCCCAACTCTACGGAAATTTCCAGGAGATCATGGTTAGTGAATGATTATACCGTGATTATAAATTATTATAACGACCAATCGGCAGTCAGAACATGATAAAATAGCAACATGGCACAACAGACGCCCTTGCCCCTTGCTAGTAAACAAAAGTCACACGTCTTCACGATTTTAGAACTATTTGATATTATTATTGTTAATAAATATTATAATATATTGACTGAACTCACGAAACTGCGAACATTAAATGGATAGCATTGACGTCATCGGACAGGTATGTCGGTGGATACAAACTCGGCTAATAACGCGTTAATGGATAAAGTTGTAATGCTTTTATGAAAATACAATAACCGGATGAGTTATATTTATGATTACGGCCAACGGGCTAAAAACAATGCAAAATTTAAACAAATAACTATTAACAACTTTCGACGTGGTGACAATTTTTTTGTAATGCGGCAAATGTTTGGTGGCGTTTTAATTAAACTTATCTCCATGCGATTATATGATAAACTTTTCTTTACAGTAACGTTTTTGCATACTATACAGTACTATATAATAGTGATCTATTGTATCTGACTACAGTATTATTAATATGCAGATAAGTAGATTCAAACAACCAAAAATAGCGAATAGATTTTTACTTCGAATACGATTTACTTTCATTGGATACCTGTGATAATGGCTACTTGACCCTTTTAATGACAACCATTCGGTATGATGTCAGTTGGATAACACTGATCAATTTGTATTCTTACTGTGTCGTTTGGGAAATTAAACAATAGTGAAGACAATATACCGTCTGTCGTAAGCGTTATCTTATTATAGATATACGTAAGAAATAAATAGACGTTGAGTCGTTAAATGGCTGGTTACAGAATAGATTACACAATTTTATACCAAAATAAAATAGAATACCAACAAATTATTATTAGATCTAAAATAAATTACTTCATCGTTTTAATGATTGTAATAGTAATTTTAAGAGCTGAGACAGAACACACACCAAAACCAACAGTATTAACAAATATTATGATAAAAAAAAGATGTAAATTTTAAATCAAAAAAGGTTTCGCTCTTCGGTACAGTAGTTTACAAAAGAGTCACTGTATAATGGATGGTATTAAATTTGAAGTCAATGATATAATATCATTGTATACGAAAAACGGTTATCGGCCATGACGCTTTGTCAGTGTGCCGTGTGGATATTTTATATTATATTTATATTATTATTACTTATTATTAATACAGTAGCCGGTAAGTTGAATTAATATATAAATCCTCTAAATTTGAACATAAATTAATTGTAAAAAAAATTGTGTTTTATATTTTTAAAATTTTTTGGTTACAGAATAACCTACTTAAGTGGAATCTTGTTGTAAGTTTTCAACCCTTAGTTATAAAATTTGAAAATTTTTAATTACAAAAAATCATTTTTTAAATTTAAATTTGATAAATGTTGTCAAAAATCAAACTTTAAAAAAAAATTGTTCCTATGTACCTATTTTTAATATTTTTCAACCGCTATTTAAGCAATATGTCAGGAGCCTTGTATTCAATTTTCACTGTTTTTGGCACATCAAATTTTATTATATTATATTTTGGAAAAAAAATTGAAAATTTAAGTTGTCCGTCAACACAAGTCAAAATATTCTACAGTTAATCGTTTTTGAATTATAACAAAATAAGAAAATCGCTACATGAGAAATCGAGTGAATATCTAATGTTGTAAAAATATGAACTTCAAATTCTCATAAAAATTTAAATTGACTTTCTTGTAGACATTTTTTTTTTTTTTTTTGATAAAGGTTGAAAAACTTATGAAGAATCTTGTACTTCATTTTAAAAGAAAAATTTTTATGAATTTCTAGCTCAAATTAATTTGCACATTTTCGTCATTTTTACGTATTTTGTCAATATTTGAACTTTATATACTTATGATAAAAAATTGTGCTTGGATTTATAATATTTTTCAAATATAGTTGTAACAATATATTAGGAGCCTTGTATTACATTTTTGAGATTTTTACCATAAAAATAAAATTGTAATGACATTTGTAAAAATTTGAAACTGAAAATATCTGTTGGAAACAGATCAAAACAAATCAAAAGTGTATCGTGTATAGAAAATTCTGATATAAACAACCAGTGAAAATTTCATATAAATAAGGTCATTTGTTTTAGAATTACACCAAAAACCAAAATCAATTTTGTCGAAAACCGATTTTGAGTAAAAATTAATGGTTATCATTATTTTTTTGTTTTTCTCGGCGCTTTTGAAAATTATTGGGAATTTTAAATTTTTACCTCCCCAATCCACCAACAATATTCACTTTCCCGTTTAACAAGATACTGTTGTATTTTAGTGTATTGCTTTGTATTAAAAAATATGTATTTAATTACTGCTAAGAGATTGGACTTAGTAAATATAATATCAATTTAATAGTAATTTTTGTTTCTGAAATTCAATGAAATAATTTTATTTTTTTATAAATACAATTTACCTTTATTATGTTTTCGTTTAGGTTAGTTGGAAAAATAATTGCAAGTCTGTCATAAAATAATAAGGTAATTTATCTAAATAATCTTTTTGTATTTAAAAATTAATCTAACTTATAGGCAAAATATTACACCACCGACACCGAGTATCTCTCTGCAATATGACTAGAACTTACTTCACTTGTTTTTTCTACAGAATATAATATCTTGTAAACATAATTAATATATTTAATTATGTTTACAAGATATATATATATATAAATAATTATGTAAAAAGTATAAAACTGTATTTATATTATCTACGCTTAACCTATAATATTTAAATGTATACAATTTGTCGAGAATTATTCCACTTTCACTCCAAAGCTCGTAATATTCTTTTCTAACAAAATACATTTTGTAGAGACGCCACAAAAACCTTTTATGATAAATGGATTTGTGAACAATTTTTCGATCTGTATTTGCTTTGGTTTTAAATTAAATTATCCACTCAAAACGTTATGTCCAATTGGTTTGAATTCGATTGTTGTAACGTAAATGTATAACGATTTGTTTAAAACGCTCTTAGTTGAATTTAAGAACCTGTAGATCGGAATATTCCGATAATTTTTCTATTGTAAAATGAAATAACTATGAACTGGACCATTACAAACTACGTATCCTTAACGCTTAAGGAACACAAAGTTCTGATTACATCAGAAGTTAGATATCGAACATGGATCTACTAAAACTATTACTATAACTACAATTGTTTGTATGGTGCAGTTAAAAAATCCATTTCCACGTTCAAAAAACACTGATCTTTTGAAAACTTAATTGAAAATCATAAACTTTATTAGTTTATTACGAATAAAAAAGTAAAAATCCAATAAGTGCTATTTTATAGTTAATACACACTGATTTACAAACCTAATTATTATGCACCTTAATTGTATCTAGTCAAATTACGTTGATTAAATAATATGTATATATATTTTTTATGATACTATGATAGTACCATTTTTATATTGTCAAAAAAAAAAACAAAAAATAAACAATTTATCATTGAAATCAAATTTACCACATCTTCTACCCTAACCTACTCAATGACCATGTACCTACATTCAAAACCTACTATACAGCCGAGCTACGATATTTTTTTATTTTATTTTGATATTTCTATTTTTAGCTTTTGTTTGACTAGATAATTTAAAGCACGGTTAACATACAGTTAGTCATACCATAGTCATCACTCATCACTATAAATTATTAAATGTAAGACAATTAATATCAATATGACTTTAAAAAAAAAAAAATTATTTAAATTTTAAAAACGCCCTTAAAATAAAAAAGTTAAAATCTCTGCTCAAATTTTATTTTTTCGAATATGTTGATAATAAATTTATCAGACAGAAACTAAAAAATATTTATGGTCAGGATATATTTATATGTACAATGCTTTAGGTAGAATATAAAACATTTATTTATTAACTTGATGAAATGTATTTGAATACTAAAAATCAGCTTTAAAAATAACTTTTATTCATTGTGTTTGTGAATTTATTTCGCACTGAATTTCTTTTCGGTAACTGAATAAAATCGTCCATGAGTATAGTAATACAACTGTGAAGTAGATAAAATAATAAACTGTTTTGGTATTTAAACATAATATTATAAGATAATTAAATTAAAATTAAATACATACTTGTATACAAAATTGTTAATATCGCGGATAAAATTAAATTGCGTTGATTTATTTTCGCCGTGTGTGTACTAATTGTATCATTATTAGCTTCCATTTGTTCGATTAACGGTTTAACTCTTGTTAACTCTAATCCTTTAGAATTACTTGAATTTGTTTTTTCATTTGCACTATGTTTTAATTCATACCCTGAATAATTGTTTATTAACCATAACGCATTTGGACATCTAGCTTCGATACAAATGTTCCTTTCAATATTATATTATATTATAATTTGTATTTTATCGTTTAAAACTTAAAGTAAACTTAAAGACTTTTTACTTATTTTGTTGAAGAAATGACCATATAACTAACACATTCCATAGTACAAAATAAACTGCCCAAAATACAGTAGCCGTTGAAATTAAATGTTGTAGTTCCTAAATAGATTTTTTTCCATTATTAAATTAATGAAAAACATTTTTTTTTTATTTAAATTTTTAGTTTACTTTGGAAGCCCCGTTGAAAGCAATGGACCATATTATAACCATAGTACTTGTAAACACAAACATGATCAGCCATGCCACTATAATAATAACAGGGTTCATTAAAATATTGTATTATTGAAGAGCGAAACCTCATTTGCGGAGATAGTCTCGTGCAAAATACGCTCATCTGGGAGGCGATATCATAAAATGTATAGTAAATAGTATATTATTAGTATTACTTATTAGAATATACAACTGCCTGGATAAATACAGGTAAAAACAGCTTAAAGAAATGTCAATAATTAATAGTTTTTTTTTGTGTCTTAACGGAAATAAATAAATGTTTCATACTTGGTTCTGATGTATCTAGGGCCAATGCATTAACTAGTAAAGTACTTGCTGCCAAAGTCTAAAAAATGTTTTATAAATTCCATGATTGAAGTCGCTGTAAAATGTCTTAGAAACTACTTTCTTACGATAAACACTGAACTGAATGAAATGATACCAACTTGAAGTGTTACAATTCCGAAGGTATTTTTGAGATACCACATTATTTCAACCAAAATATATAAAGAACTTGAATAAGTTGGTAATGAGTTTCCCCAATCGATTTCCAAAATTATATACGAACTAATGGATCTATTTAGAATAGGTCTTTCTATATTATAGTTCTTATATTTTATGAAAAGTCAATGAAACTAAATTAAAACGCTGATGTTACTGACAATTGCTATGGAAACATTGAGTTACAATTCAACTTCATCGGTAAATTTTAAGATACATTTTTGAAATGCATATCATCTACATTACTACCTACATAACATAAATTAAATCTCAGTAACGATTCTGATACTATTTCTTTTTTTGATGTGACATATTCATCACTTTCACCCTAAGTCCCTAACACATAAAAAATAAAATAAGAAAATATTATTCCCAATAAATAAAATATTTTATTTTATTTTATTTTTTTTGTAGGTAACTGATAAGGCCAACAAAATAGAGATTTAATTATCGCCTTATTAAGTAATTTATTTTTATTTAAAACCATTATAAATGTCAAAACTGCCTCTCTATTGTCATACTATATGAAATCCACAAATTTGACGTCATTCAGTATTAACAGTTTCATGGAAAAAGTTGACATGACTTTGTCACAACGAAAATATATAGTTAGCAGTTACTCACTATCCTTCCAAAAATATCGTGAAAAACCGTTTTATGGTAATTTAGACGTCAGTGTACCGAAATTGCCTATATACCACGCCGGCCAATAGATATAGTATAGAAATATCGAGAATAACGTTCTATACTATTTGTAACTGTACCCATTTGGCTACTAGCCCATAATTTTCTTAAATTAATAACTATAATACTTTATAAGCCAAAACCTCAAACCACAAAGTAGCACATTTTAAACTCATGATGTAATATATTTTGTCTTTAAGTTTTTATGTAATTTTATATATTATTGTAACGTTTACGAAAAGCAGTTAATTTTATTAACATACACATTACGTAGGTAAACGGCTAATTAACTATTGAATTATGTAAGTACATTTGACACTCATGGATAATCAAAAATAATAGGTTAATTTTTGTCAGTTAATGATTGTAATACAAAGTTTATATTAAATTATTATAATTCGTTTTATATTGAAAAAGAGGACATAATCTTTGTTTTTATATTATATTTTAAAACAATATTGTGAAAAATATAACGCAAAAATAAACGTAAAAAATTGACTCATCTGGAATGGTTGAATTCGTCCGTGAACCGGAGAGGAACCCATTCAAGTGTATTAGACAATGATAAAAGTTTATTAAAATGTCGTCTCATTATTATAAAATAAAATGTTCTACAATCAATAAAGTCTTAAACAAACACTGCATATTTGTATAATTATTAGTGAGTCGATAATCATAATACCCATTTTTATGTAATTCATAACAAAATCATACACAATTATTTTTAACATACAATTTTAGTTTGGGATTTATTTTTTTCGATATTTTAAAAATTAATTTAGGCAAATGTGAACAGTCAAATTGGAAATGATTTTGACTTTATGACATTTCAAAAGTTTTAATCCGTTATATTTCGAGTCTCTACAGATATTTTTTTTATATTTTAATATCATGATAATGTGTTTTAAGATAGAGTGTGATGGGTGCTCAGTAGTTGGAAGAATTCAAAAGGGATGCTATTTTTTTTTTTTTTTATTAGAATTATGTTAGTTTAGATGATTATTGATATTCATTTATGATTCGGAACAAATTATTGAATTTATAAATTAATTTTATAAGTTTAAAAAGTTTAATTTATTTGTAATAAATAACCAGTTGGTATTAATTTATCCAAATTTATAATAATAAGTTATTAAGTACTTATATTTTTAGTTATTTGTTATTAAATTTACAATTAAACCATAATTCACAAAATTTTTAAATACAGGGATTTTTAGCATATTCACTCATTTCCACCTTTTTATTCGAAGTATTGGATATACTTTTGATACTTTACGTTGTTTTTTTTACCGTTAAAATTCGACGAGTTTAGATATATCACGAGTCATAGTAAATAATTTTTTTTGATTTGTACATTTTGTGAAATTGAGGTAGGTACAGGTAGGCAATAATTGGCTACCTAATATTAAGAATAAAATTATAAATTCAAAGATATTGTTGAAACTTAAAATTTAATAAATCAATACCTATTTCTTAATGCTATTAAAAAATGTTAGTTGCATATTTCAGTTATCTTGGGTGCATATATGCATGTGTATTTCCAAAAATACTATTGCAATAAGAACAGAACTCTAATAATAACATCCGATCCAATAAATATTCTTCCTATTTAGATATACCTAATAAATAAAACTATTCACCTTACAAAAAATAGTCCAGACTTGTTTACTTAATTATTATAAGATAATCATTTGAAATTATCATATAATTGTATGTTTATGTATATTCTAGCAAGTAGCAGACCCCGAACACTTCATTGGTCATTTAAAATTTCTACACTATATGATTCAAACTTTGTTCAATTCATTATTTAATATTCCGTGAAATGGTTAGGTTCAAAACTTAAATGTTTTAATCGGCCATCTTGAATTTCAAAATACTTGTGCAAGCACCACTTTAAAATGAGTATTTTGGAAAATGGTTTTTTAGTTTCAGGCTCTACGTTGATCAGCCAATGAGTCAGTCAGGACACGTTCGATTATATTATATTACAGCCATCCCGTAGGACATTGCCCGTGAGACTAGCTTGTGATTATGCTAGCAGTATTATATTATCAGGTAGGAAATCCACCGTAATTGTATAATTTTTAACTCTAAAGTTTCAAAGTTATACCAAATTAATTATAACCACGGCTGTAGATAATATGAATAGATAGGTAATCGTATCTATATAATAGCCGTGGTTATAACAACATATCGACATTGATGCGTACACGTCACCAACATAGAGCCACAAGACGGCAGCTAGTAATTGTTTCATCCTATGCAAAATTTGGTATTCGCCCATTTCAACCCCTTAAAATCAAAATTATTCAAAAATCTTTCTAATTGCACGCCTAGACTTGCACACCTGCAAGTTGTAATACCTATTAGTAGATAATTTCTATAATAACCTAAATTCATCTCTTTTTATTAAGGGGGCCGCAGCAGGTTTTGTCAAAAGTCAAAACTAATGTAGATTTGACAAATCTAAACATTAATTTGTTTGTTATAATGTTTTTCAATATATTTAAATTTTGTATTATAAAATAAACCTTAAGGGGGCTGGAGGGGGCTCCAGTAGTCAATGAAAAAAAGTGACTTTTAGACCAATAAGCTAGGCAAAACTGGAAGAATTTGGTTTGACAGATTTTAATTTTTAATTGATCAACAAGTATACTAAGGAATGGTCTAAGCGATTTTGAATATTAAAATTATTGTTGGTGTCATACTGAATAATATAAATACAAAAATATCATATTTTTTTCGATATTTTTATTCTTGGATATCACAGCTGAAAAAAAATATTCGAATTCGCCTCGATCATTCCTTAGTAAACTTTTTGATCAAACATAATCCGTTTTAAAAATTCAAATCTGTCAAACCAAATTCTTCCAGTTTTGTATAGCTTATTGGTCTAAAAGTCACTTTTTTTTCATCTGTTACAGCCCCTTTAATATAATTTCGCCGAATTAACTTATTGATATAGATTTTATATGGGTATTTCTAATAATAATAATACAAATAAATTAATATCATACTTTTAGGTTAATATAATACTATCCATAATCCATCGCTATTCACTTCCGTTTGAGCATTTTCGAAAACTGTGTTATTGCTGGAAATGTATTATTTAATTGAAGTCACATTATAATATATGTTCCTCGTAGCAGGATATAGCATTATTAAAGGAATTTGTGAGTTGATTAACGCCAGAAGTGGTTTTTATATTATATGTATCGGTATTATATTTTGTACGCGAAAAAGGTTGTGATCGAAGTTAAATTAATACGAGGTTATGCAGTCATCGAGGAAATCAAAAAAAATCACCGAAAGGGAGGGGGTCTTCAAACGCATGCTCAGTCATAAATTCAATGATACTACGCGTTGGTTGTTGTAACAGAAAATATAATATTATACAGATCTGTTCCATCTCTGTCCGGGTGTATGGTAATAATAATAATAATATTCATATATTATACGCCACAATCGTGTTCACCAATGCATGATGACAGATGATTGTCGACCACCATCGACGATTGTCGAAATTACGCAAGCAATAACGCACACACATTTGTCGGTCCGTATTGATTTCTCTTATTATGTTCGTAAATCACGTCAACGGGACGAAACATTCTGCGGTGTAGGTGAACGTTAGCGGCTGCGATGGTGGCGGTGGCGGTGGCGACGGTGGCGGCGACGACGACGACGACGACAAAATGGTTGACGGGGATCCTTTTAAAGCCACCAGAACCTACTTGAAAATTAATCAAAAGCTCGAATGGCTTCGAGTAAATGATGTAGACAAAACGGCTAATGACCAAACCGTTTTCTGGATAAAGTTAAACGTTCGGTACGTAGGTCATTTTTCATTCAAGATTCTTTTAGCCTACTACCGCAAAAACAACTATATTCTACCACAGCAGTTATATATATTTAAAAAAAAAAAACCCTAGTTAAATACCCAACCAAGTTTCCCCTTTCAACGACCATGATGCTATCAAAGTAGTTTTTCTCCAAAATATTAAAACCATTTTTTACTCGGTAGTAATAGTGCATCGCGTGTTACCCTGATTTGTTTCAATAATAGTTAATACATAGGTGTATTATAACAGGTACAATTTTTATATTTTACATTATCCAGATGGAATTACGAAAAGGGAATGATTCCTATTACCTTCCAATGATATGTTTTGTTTTCAACATTTAATTAAATAATTAAAAATAATTCTTAGGTTCGAAAGTAACTAGTAGGTAATTTAAATTTGCCTTTTTGTTACGAAATAATAATTATCTAATTATAAAATCGTATTATTCCTGTTTT